GCATCTGCGCCGCTGCGCGCTCAATCCACTCAGCGTGCTTTGTTTATCAGCTCGCGCACATCAGCTATATAGGCGTTAATACTGAATGTTTAACGTTATATTCATTGCATACATATACTTCGTAGACATCCTTAATCTCTAATAACTTCATTCTGCTGTCTGTTGTTCTGTTGTCGGTGTTTCTTTGTCTGAATATGGCGCTTATCACATTCTGTATGGTATCGGCGTTTGGTATCGGGGCATTTTAACGAGTACGAGTACGAGTACAGGAGCTCAGTATCGGGCCCAATACCGATACCAGTATCGGTATCGGTGCATCCCTAATTGTAAGCCTTTAGCGAGTTGCACACACAATGATGCAAAGCACACACCTCCCTCCATTAGCGTGGAAAACCACCGACTCTTTTCCTGTGCTGATGCAGCCATTGATGTTCTCCAGTATCCCAGCATTCACCATTTTGTACATGAGCAGTCTGGTCTTGGGGTCCACAGCATGTTCCTGAGCAAAAGAGAACATGAAATGTACAGTCAACACATGCAAGTGGACACATTACATTTCTTCTGCAGTGAGTTGAGTTTGAAACCCTTAAAATAAAAAACAATGACTAAAATAAAAATGAAATAAATAATGGGTTGGGCTCTTTACATTACTTACATTTACATTACATAAAAACGAAAATAAACTAAAATTAAAATAAAAAATACAACGAAATTAAAAAGTAACATGAAAAATAAAAACAAAATAAAATTTAAAAAAAATGGGTTGGGCTCTATAAATTTCTTCTACAGTGTGTTGAGTCGGAAAACCCTACAATAAAAAACAAATAAAATAAAAATGGGCTCTTAAAAGGGAAAAACTACTCACAGCAGTAGAGTACTCCTTCTTCTCATGAAGTCGAGCGCTACGGCGCTGCTCTGTGTAACAGTGGCGTTTCAGAGCGTTGTACACATGGTTGGAGAGCTTCAAGTCCATGCCGATCCCATCTCCCACCTGCACCTCTGGAGCAAACTGCGTAGACACATTCAGAGATTAAAAAGATCGAAAAAAAACAATTCAAGATGTCATTCTGGATAAAGCGTGAACAAGCCTTACATTGTCCATGCGTGCCGTGTTCTTCCGTCCACAGACTTCCTCGTCATGTTTTGTGGTGATGTTCTTGCCTTTCCCAACAAATCCCTTTTTAGGGGTCGTTGTTGGTTTGTCTGGGTTAGTAAATCAAATGCAGTCAGGTAAAAAAAATAAAAAATTTAACTGCTAAGGACATATAAAAATATGATTTTATGTGTAGCACAAACAAGCTCACCAGCTCTGTAGGGATCATGGCGGGTGTCTTGCCAATCGACCTCATCTTCAGAGCTGTCACTGTCCTCATATGGATGAACCATGCGGTAGTTCTCAAAGGATATGGAGACTGGAAATGAAAAAAAATATATTCATAAATATATTCATTGTCAATTGTGTGGTGAATTTTTCTGGATTCTGTTTTTTCCCCCCAATTTCATTTCTCTGGATTCCATTTTAATGGTTAAATTAAATTTTTTTTTAATTACATTTTTAGGGTCCCATTAAAATCTGCTTTATTTTTCCCAAATTTTGTATTTTCCATTTTATGGTTTAATACATTTTAATAATCAAAAAGCATGTCTAATAAATTGAATTGATAAAACTTTAACATTTTAATAATTTATAATTTTTTTTCCTAATAATAGAGCCAAAAGTAAATGTTTCATTTAATTTCCTTACATTTTAATACAAATTTATTAGCAAAAACCATGGTAATGAAATGAAGGAATAAAACATTAACAATCAATCTTTTAAAATGAAATTAAATAAAATTTTAACAATTACTTTTATTGTATTTTTTTTGGCAAACAAAGTGCTGCACAGTGCACAACTAAGATTTTCTGTTAAAATTAAAACATGAAAAAAATGAAAATTGTGTGATACTCATTAAAAATTTTAAAAAATAAAGTTAATTTTATTATTTACCAATTCATTTTATTATTATTAATTTGAAAAGTACATTCTATTGTACAATAGTAATATATTTCTGTCACAATTTCAAGTTAAACTGAACTTTTATATATATATATACAGTTTGAAAGTCCAGCAGATGAAAACATACATTCTTTTAAATTTCATTTCTTGTTTTACCTTTGCTGTCTCCATTAAACTTCCTCTCCTCCCTGCGCAGCTGCGTATCAAATTCGCGATCGAACTCCATCTGAAGCATCTGGGCCAGCATCAGGTCGCTGGACGTGTCAGCTTCAGGAGTGCAGGTCAGGTCCAGATCGGTACTGAAAATAATAGGACGTAAATGCATACAAAAGATGTTTTCACCATCAGAAATGATGACAAACTTGCTTCAAACAACATTTTGTCAGAGTACCTCTGCTGCCTTAGAGTTTAAATGCCAGATGAATGATTTCGTAGTCAAACAAGCATGTGTGGATAAGTTAAATACATAGTGCTTGAGTAAAAAAACAATTAAATGGACAATAAGTACTAAAAATGCTTATTCCAAGTGACTATATGCATTACTACCAAGTGTATTACTATTGTTTCTATATAAAAAAGTAATCCAAACCAAAGACAGTGGGCTACTAGACTCATAACAGTGTTAATAATTTGATATGTAGGTGTGTGTGAGACTCACTCTGGGATTTCTGGGAAAGGAATGCCCTCCTCATGCAGCTCTCGGGCCAGCTGCTCACTCATCACATCAGCCAGAGAGCAGGGCGCTGGTGCCAGGACAGGAGCGCACCATGGGCTCTGGAAAAATAACAACACACAGACATGAACGACTGATACACTCTATCAGCAGAAGTTAGGCTCACATTCCAACAAATAACACCATCAGCAGCTGACAAGCAGAATAAAAGTCCTGTCACATGTGCCATGAATAGTACCGTATTTTAACTTAAATGGATTTTCCACCCAAAAATGAAAATTTTGTCTATAAGTCAGTAGAGACATATCCCAACAGACTAATGGCTGTAATTAAAGCAAAATACTGACACAAGGGAGTGATCCTTTTCCAACTAAGTGATTCAGTTTTTTTATTTTTTCCTGACATGTTGGTGTTATATCTTTCACTTGGATGTTATAAGTTGCACTAAGTAAATACAGCTGGATAAAACAAAACTGTGTCCGTCTTCATTTCAGGCTGCAAAGCAACAAAATGTGATTATTTTAAAGGGGGTGATTCTTTTTTATACCCACAGTATGTATATAAATTATTTTAATACAGAGTGATGGGAAAGCAATGTGAAGTCTCAAACAGTTTTATCATTGTTACCTAAAACTAAAATTAAAACTATAGTGTATATAGTTATATTTAAAATAAAATATTTAAATAATATTTAACAAATATTATATCAGAAATATATACAGTTACATATGTATAAATGTATTTGTAAGACTACTAAAAAATTGAAATAATGCTGCTATCAAACAAAATATAAATACTTTAATTAAATTGAAGTATTAAAATTACTAAAACTAAACCTGAAATAATAAAAAAACTAAATATAAATTAAATACACACCATTTAGAATTACAAAAACACATAAGCACAAAATCTCAAGAACAAAAGAAGAAAACTGCTAAAACCTAAACTAAAATTAAAACTGAAAACATAAAAATAAAAGGCAATTAAATATATTAATAACTACCAAAATAGTGTATATTAAATGATACTAAACTAAAACTGTTCTTAAGTATTGCAATATTTATTTGACCTACTTAACTCTACAAAATGATGACTCAAGTCCAGATCAAGAGTTTCAAAGTCGACATGCTGAAGATGACCTCACCCATAAACTTTGGCACCAGATTAAACAACAATATTGTTCTAACTGCGTAAAGTTCATCACTGCAGTGGTCAGACTTGAGTCGTCACGTGCCAGGCAGGTTCAGACTCATTACTCACTCTTCTGTTGTATAATGGTCGGCAGGCCTTGTATTAATCCAACTCATATTTTACCACTCGCCGGAGGTTTTCCACATATTTCGACTGTCTAAATGCGACATAAAACTGTTAGGAAATCTCACCTTGGTTTCTTTTGTAGTTACTTCAAGTTGGTCCATGTTGGTTGACAGGAGGTTTAGATTCAAAACAGACTAACGTTAGAAACGAGACGCTTGTAACACTTTATCGCGTAGATTACTAGAGTAAAACTCGTGTAACGTTCGTTAATATCGACTTTAATTTTATATGTAACACTACTTATGACAATTTTTTGACCAAAACCGCTAAAACGTGGTTTAAAACGACGAGTTAATTCGTTACCGACAATGTGTCAGATAAAAATCGATGTGAGATACAACCTACAATGGTTGGTGGTGGGACAACCCTATATGACGTCAGGACTCGGTTTTTCAAAATAAAAGTCAAATAAAAAAATATAGTGATTTATTTTGTAGTATTTATTTTATAGCAGTTTTATTATAGTGATCTACTTTATATATAAAAACAATAATAATTAAATAATGGGATCTCCGAAAACAAAGCCTTCCTTATTATCACTTATTTTTCTTCTATGTTATGAAAACATAAATAGTAAAAAAAAAAAAATCAGTCTTTTGAGATTTTTATTTTCTATTTTTGTCATTCGAAACAATTCATTTTTAAAAATATTCCTTTCATGATAGAAAGCGATCACTTTATGAATATAATTATCTAATTCATCATATTTTTTTGCATATTTCATTATTACATTTTTATTCCTGTCATGGTTGAGTATTCTAAATTTATTAACAGTTTAATACTCTGCGATAATAAAGATAAAAATAAAATGGCAGAATAAATTCGTGTTAAAATATTTTATTTGGTATCAGTAATAAGAATAAAATAAGTCTAAATAATATTATAAGTGCTAAAATATTATTATATTTTCCGGGTAATTAAAATTTTTGTTACTCACTATACCATTTAGTACAGATTTCATTGAGGCTTTTATTGGCTAAAAATGTGTTGCGTGTCACGGTGGGCGTGGCCTACAGAACAGAGGAAGTACAGATGAGATGTCAGAACATTAATAAAGAAGAGTATTAGAGGAGCTATGAGACCAAAGTTACTGGTGCATCCAATCCAATGAATGTTGCTTGAGTGATTCTTGCTCTAGTTTTCTGCACCTTTTTCACAGCATCTTACTTCACAAATAAGGTAAACTAACTACTGTACCTTCAATGTGTGTTTGTCCTGTTGTTTTTGTATTTCATTTACAATAATGCATTTTCTAAAATACATTTTGTGGTTTAGCTGTGGGTCCTAGATTATTAAATGATAGTAATGCTGACCGGTACCAGAATACACAAAATGTAGAATTGCTTTTTGCTTTACAGTATGTCCTGTCTATCTTAAAGTTTACATTTCCAACCATTTTCCAGGGGTAAGTATTCATCACTCGGTTATGAGGTTTGAAGTTCAGTTCCTCATTTACATGATATTTCAATATTTATGCTTATTAATTGACTTTCTTCAGTTGGCAGACCTCCACTGGGGCTCTCTTGCTACTGGTTACATGGAAACTGGGTTGGGTTGAAATCAATGGCTTTTCCAGGTAACTAAATATGCATTTATATAAAACATTGATTAGTATTTGTGGATTATACATTTTATTATGATCTGTTTATTAATATCTGTACTCTTGCTGTGTTTGTTATTTAGATCTGCAGCTTTTTCCCAGCTTCCTGGCTCCTTCTTATTTATTGGTAACATTTATGCAGGGTCCAAAGCACTGTCACTTTTGGTAAGTACAAAATATATGCTGAAATATGAACTTCAGCGTCTTTCCTATGTTGGGACTGAACATGCAGCCTTTGTGTGTGCTTATGTTGAAATATGTTTGTCTTTGCTCTTTTTTTAGCCCATTCCTTTTTTCTTCGTGTTACAAAATGTCTCAGAAGTCTTCGCTTTTCTCATCGGAACAGCAACTCACAGAGAGGTCAGTCTGATTATAGTTGCTATTTTGTGGGAACAAACTAAAATCTATTTTTTGCATGTTTCTTTTTCCTTTCTATATGTATTTAGTAGGATTAGAAATCATAAAACAGCTCGTTTCTATAGTATCCTCATACTGTTTCAGATATCATAATCATATCTCAATGCTCGTCATGCTACCATTCTAATTTTCTTTATATTTGCTTTATTTAGAAACCACCATGGATGAAATTAATAAGGTATGTTTCTTTTAACCAAGTAGCCCAAAATGACTTGAAAAGAGCTTGTTTATGCTCTTAAATTAATACCAACACTGTAAAATGAGTTTTTTTTTTTACCTTGTTTTCCAGTAAAAAATATCTAAACATTCTTAAATCAAGATACAGTTACTTGAGGAGTAATAAGTATTGGACTAATAATTATTATTTTTTTATGAAAAAAATATCAAAATTAAGTGACTTAAAACAGGAAAAAAGTCCAACAAGGTGGTAAGACAAATTTAATTTTTCTTACCCAACTGGCCAATATTTATTCTTGTTTTAAGCATAAACTCACTTTATTTTGATACATTTTTTTCAGAAAACAAAACGTAATAACTTAAGTAATTTTGCTTTGTACTAGAAAGTAAGAGAAAAATACTGAAGAAGAATCTTTTTTGTTGATGAAATGATTTTCTTTATAGTATGTGTATGTTGTTGGGATCTGCCAGCAGCCTTATGCTATACAATCCACGGGTAAGTTCACTCTCACCGGGATTTTCTGTGAGTTATCAATATCTCTGTTTCCTGTGACAGTAAAAATCTCCATTTCATATGTCCTCTTTATGGTTCTATATGTCTCACCTCTCAGTTTGGTCCCAGTGGCTACACATGGGCGTCCATCCATCTGTTCTGTGTTGGTGAGTGTGAATTTATTTGTTGTGGGACTCAGAATTGTGAGTAACGATCTGAAACCTACAGAGATGTGCTTAAAGGTCCCATATTGTTAAAACTGAAATTTCCTGGCTTTTTTCATGATAACTGAGGTCTAGGTGCTATGTAACTACCATATAAGTTTCAAAACAGTCAGTCCACAGTAAAATGCACACAGCCTGCATAAAGTAGCTGTGATTTTTCACGAACTAGCCGAATCTGCGCTGGTTTGAATGGGCCGCCTCCAGTTTCCCCTTTGTTTTGCTGCCTCCAGCTAGTGCTGTGACATCGGCTGACCCTAGTTAGCTGTGGTTGGCCTGGCCGTGCGTCACTCGGAACACAACAGGCCAATCAGAAGAGAGGCTCATGAATATTAATTAGACAGGCCAAAATCGACCTGTTCTCAGCAGAGCTCCTGAGAGAGGAGCTGTAAAAATATAATGAGATGGTTTTTGGTACTTATACCGCAAATATATATTCTTAAGGACATCAAAACCTAAAATAAACTCCAGAAAGGTGTAAAATATGTGACCTTTAAGATTTGGTCACATGAAAGTGTGCATTTTACCTGTGTGTTTTTAATCTCATCTCTTCTCTAATTTAGGTGCATATAAAGTATTCCAGAAGAACACAAAGACAAACCTTCTGAGGTGCTTTCATGTTTTATTTACATTATCGTTCAAAAGTTTGGGGTCAGTAATATTTTTAAATGTTTTTCAAAGAAGTCTCTTCTGCTCACTAAGGCTGCATTTATTTGATCAAAAATACAGTAAAAGTCAGCAAAATTGTGAAATATTATTACAATTTCACATAACTGATTTCTTTTGTAAAATATAATTCATTTTTGTGATGAAAAGCTGAATTTCAGCTGAATTTCACATGATCCTTCAGAAATCATTCTAATATGCTGATTTGCTGCTCAACAAACATTTCTTATTATTATCAATGTTTGTTTCTGTGGAAATTGGGAAATTTTTTAACTTAGTAGAAAAGTATTTTAATGTCACTTTTGATCAATTTAATGCATTCTTACTGAATAGAAGTATTCATTTCTTAAAAAAAAAAAAATGTACTGACCCTAAACTTTTAGAATGGTTTTGTATGTTGTATATTGTTGTTTTTTAAACTCTTAAGTAGATGCATAATAAGTGCCGTTTTTAATGTGTAATGTTATAGTGATCTTGAAGAGCAGTTCATCAATTACATGACCAGGTAAATAGATAAATCTGAAAATTAAAGGGTTCACCCAAAAAGCCACAGAAAGCACAAAGAAAACAAAAGAAAAGCAAAGAAAACAAAAATAACGACTTTATTCCACGTTTTAGTCTCTACTGCATCACTTTTGACGCGCGTTCACGACAGTATCATGACGCGAGCGTGTGGCAGCTACAGTTGAACCACTGATGTCACACGGACTACTTTGTCGATCATCTTGGTACTTTTCTGGACCTTGAACGTGGTAGTTACCTTGCTGTCTATGGGAGTGTCAGAGAGCCCTCAGATTTCATCAAAAATATCTTAAATTGTGTTCCGAAGACGAACGAAGGTCTTACGGGTTTGGAACAACACGAGGGTGAGTAATTAATGACAGAATTTTCATTTTTTGGGTGAACTAACCCTTTAAAGTCATCCTTTATATGTGACCTCAGATTTTGAAACAAATGAATTTTGAATGCATATACACAGTATATGTAGTCATTTTTTCAACCCCATCTAATTTTATACTTCTTTTTTAGTGCATTGTTACTTGCCTCTCTTGCATACTCGACAGGTAATAAAATGCATTTTATACTATTATATTATTTTTGTCTACAGCTCTGTAATTTTCTGACATGATTCATGTGTACTTCTTGGTGTTTTGTCTTTCAGGTGATCTGTCCGGTGCCTTAGATTTCCCTCTCCTGACTTCATACAGGTTCCATACTGGCTGCTTGGGCAGGTGAGACAAACATTCAGTGGGAATCATAAATGTGCTAATGCATGAAAGTTAGCATGATTTGTTGGATATTTACAATAAGGATTTCAACTGCAAAAAGTCCAGAATGAGTGATGCATTGCCATTTTATTGAAAGAAATTGATTGTGTGTGCAAATCTTAAGCTCATTAGAAATCTATTTCATTTCATAGCGCTATATTCAGCTTTTGTCTGATGTTGGCAACCGTGAAATTGAAGGGCAGTCTGTCTCAGGAGCACTGTGGCATCTGGTTCTTCCTGGCTAAGGTGAGACAGACCTCTGAAAATTATATTTTGAACCACAATTATCCTTTGAGTGTCTCCATTTATTTGTGTCCAGTCAGTACTGTTCGAGCAAAAGGCTGGTTTCACATCGCATGCATTGCAGCACAAAAATTTAAATGTAAATGGTGCAATGGTTTTCTTTTCTCCTTGCATGCAGATACTGGCGTCAGGTCTTTCCCTTTTACTTTCCGCATTCAACTCTGTGCTCAGCCCCGTGACTCTGTGCTGGTGAGAACAGTTTTATGTTAAGATATTGAGTTTAAGCTATCTATTTACTTGCAGTATGAAGTGAATAATGAAATAAATGTTATATTGTTTTTGTATCTCTCATTAGCATCATCCTGAACTATGCTGGGGAGGCCTTGTTTGTGTATTCAGACAGATTTCAATAAGTTTGTTGAAGAATATGGCCAGTGCCTTTGAAGATTTTCCAAATAAGTCACTCCAACTCTTTATAGGGGCTTTATAAATTGACCAAAGCCAATTGCCTCAATGAGATTATTTTCACCTTGCTACACCCAAAACTCTTTTTTTTTTTGCTGATTTTGAGTTTAAAAATAAAATATATTTATAAATAAATAAAACTTATAAATAAAACAGCTTTTTTATTTCACAATTCTGACTCTTTTCTTGCAGTTTTGAGTTTATATTTCACAATTCTGACTTGTTTTCTCACAATTCTGTAAAAAAAAAAAAATAGAGAAATAAGTCAAAATTGTGAGCTGTTAACTTGTAATTTTAATGTATAAACTTGTTTTTTTTTTTATTAAAAATTTTTTTTTTTTATTCTGTGGTGGAAAAAAAAGTAAACTAACAATTGAGAGAAAGTCAGTCATAAATCCGTTTATATTTGTTTTCGGAATGGCAAGAAAAAAGTCAGAATTGTGAGATATAAACTGCAAGAAAAAAGCGAATTGTGGGATGAAAAGTCGCCAGTTACCTTTTTATTATTTATTCCATGGTGGAAGCGTGCTTCCATAGTTACATGTTAAACCAGAAATAGCAGGAAAAAAGCAGGTGTTTACCATTTACCATAATTCTTTTAGTCCTACATTTTAATATGGCCAGTTTATTGTAGTCAGTATTGTATAGTAACAGATTTTCTGTTTTGCACTTATTACGCATTTTTCACCAGCAATATTTGTAATTGCTGTTAGTGTTCGACCTTTTGCACATCATTGTCCAGCAGTTTACTTTTGAGAGTCCTGGATCATATCCTGAATACTGTCACACCTTACATCTCTGTATGAGGATCAATAAGATAACATTGGTACATGAGCCCTCTGTAACTCTCATGTAGGTTTAAAAAAATATTTTTACATAATGGCAGTCACCATAAACATGTTAGTGTTAAATATAAAAGATGTTTGTTGCCCATGTTTAACATTATTCATAATTATTGCAGGTTGGTTGACGGTTATAATATTTTTTTAGGGTATCTGGATTTTTCAAATACAGAAATGACTCCCAAAATTCAGTCCTGCAAAAAGTACTGTGATTATTCTGTTTGAGCCGATTGACATGTGTGACCCTGGAGCACAAAACCAGTCTTAAGTTGCTGGGGTATATTTGTAGCAATAGCCAAAAATACATTGTATGGGTCAAAATTATTGATTTTTCTTTTATTCCAAAAATCATTAGGATATTAAGTAAAGATCATGTTCCATGAAGATATTTTGTAAATTTCCTACTGTAAATATATCAAAACTTAATTTTTGATTAGTAATATGCATTGCTAAGAACTTCATTTGGACAACTTTAAAGGGGATTTTCTCAATATTTAGATTTTTTTGCACCCTCAGATTCTAGATTTCCAAATAGTTGTATCTCGACCAAATATTGTCCTATCCTAACAAACCATACATCAATGGAAAGCTTATTTATTCAGCTTTCAGATGATGTATTTCCAAAAATTGACCCTTATGACTGGTTTTGTTGTCCAGGGTCACATTTACTGTATTTTGGAGCCACATTTTATGATATTGTATTTCTAAAGCTTCTATTATGAAATTGACCCGTGTATTCAATTATGAAATAACATTTCTTTGAATAAGTTTTTGCAATACTAAATGAAAGATTTTCATTGACCATTTCTGTTTTTTCTAATTTTTTCTTCCGAAAAATAAAATTAAATCATAAAACACAGAAGCAATATTAGATATCTTTATTAACTCTTAGTGTGTAGCTTACGAAACAAGCAGTGCATCTAAATACTGAACAGCAGTAGGGTGGGTTTTGAGGATCTGGTCTGACAGAGGCGTCTGTAGTGCGGTAAGATCTCACGCTGTGGCAGATGCAGTTTAAACTCGAGCGCCACCAGCGCAGGAAACTCCAGTGATAAAAGTTCCCTGCGATTCAGCCGCAGTCGCTCCTCCAGTCTCTAATGGACGTCCACAGTGAGAACTGAATGAATCATTTATTGAATTAGAAATCAGGGAACAGATATTGATGTCGCAGAGCTTTACGTACATCTATGAGGTGTTTGACCTCTGGCCTCTTGAGGTCATTGCTTATTTTGGCAGCGAGAAGGATACAAGCTCCGGCGCAAAGTTTACGATTCTGCTTGTCCAGTTTACCGTACAGGGCGAGCTTTTCAAAATAGACATAAGCCATTGCAATCGTCGGCTCCTCATACCCACAATCCTCCTGGGCCAATTTCCGAATCTCTCTTTTCAGACTGAGAATGTCACAGTACAATAAAATAATACATACAATTGCATTGCTTCGAGATATTCATATTTTCAAGTTGGGTGATAGGAAGCCGGTACCTTCTGATTTTGCTGAGGGTCAGTTGAACATGTGGAAACTTTTCGCTGAATGTTTCATTCATGTCTTTCTTCAGGTCGGACGGCTTCACGTATTCAATGACCGTTGTCTGAAAAAATCAACACACATCTCTAGGAAAAAAAATGCCTGTTTCAAATGCATTTCATTATTACAATGATGAAATTTTTCCTCCATAAGCAGCATTAGTATATTTTTTAAGGCAGGTGTGAAACTGTCATAAAATGTTACAGTAATAACATAATGAACAAAAATGTTCTTGTATGACAAACTTCATATGCATCGACTGATTGCTCTCACCGTATAAGATGGAAAGACAAGCACTCGTTTGTGTTTCCCACAAGGCCACTGTGGATCATCCAGAAGATTCGGGTCATAATCATCAATGTTTTTCCCTTTGAATCCTGCATGTTAAAAAAAATAAGGGAATTCTGGATATTAAAAAAAATAAAATAAAAGCTAAAGTAAATTATTTAAAAAAAGAAACATTTTCAGAAAAAGGTAAATTTTTTTTATCTTAAATTAACATTAATCTTAAATTTAAAAAAATGAGTGAATGAACGAACGAATGAATGAATTAATTAATTAATTAATGAAGGGAATTCTGGAAATACATAAAAAAAGATTAAAAGAAAAAAATAAACATTTTCAGGAAAAATATAAATTCTTTTCATCCTAAATTGATGTACATCTTAATTTTATTTAAATATATTCATTTTTAATTTATGAACTGCTTTTAATTGACACTCAAAAACATGAATGAATAAATAAATAAGGGAATTCTGGAAATTAAAAAAAAAAGATTAAAAGAAAAAAGAAAAATTTTCAGGAAAAAAATTTAAATTATATTCATATTAAATTGATGCGTAGCTTAGTTTTACTATATTAAAAAAAATAAAATAAAAGCTAAAGTAAATTATTTAAAAAAAGAAACATTTTCAGAAAAAAGGTAAATTTTTTTTATCTTAAATTAACATTAATCTTAAATTTAAAAAAATGAGTGAATGAACGAACGAATGAATGAATTAATTAATTAATTAATGAAGGGAATTCTGGAAATACATAAAAAAAGATTAAAAGAAAAAAATAAACATTTTCAGGAAAAATATAAATTCTTTTCATCCTAAATTGATGTACATCTTAATTTTATTTAAATATATTCATTTTTAATTTATGAACTGCTTTTAATTGACACTCAAAAACATGAATGAATAAATAAATAAATAAATAAGGGAATTCTGGAAATTAAAAAAAAAAGATTAAAAGAAAAAAGAAACATTTTCAGGAAATTTTTTTTAATTATTAATCATATTAAATTGATGCGTAGCTTAGTTTTACTTATAAATCTATTAATTTTACAATTTACAATTGACAAACTTTTTAACAATTTTTCAAAAAAAAAAAAAAGTACATTATTTTCATTCTAAATTGATATGTCACTCAAAAACACTAAATATTTAAATATTTATTTATTAAAATAAATACACAAGACAGCAAGGTAAATTTGACATGTGAACATGCTCTTCCTCACTGACCTCTCTTTATGCCAGTCTGAGTGAGGACACATGCTGGACTCAAAACACACTGTGACCCAGAATGCAGTGCGAAGACGTCAGAGCCGCCGCTGCTGCTGCTTAAGGCATTAGTGTGAGACAGAAGTTTTGTGTACGACACTGTCTGAAAGTTGGGAAACAAAATATTAGTTATGAAACCTCAATATTACACTGATCAAATAAGTCATTTTAATCTCAAGTGGACCTCACCTTACCCTTGGCTCCAGGTTCAACAGCATCAATCAGCATCACTGCGTCTTGAGTCGCTCCACTGATGTTGTTCTGATGGCCGCAGTCTAACCTTTGATCGCTGTAGACAACAGATGAGTGTGAGATTATCTAGATTCAAAATCTGATGTAAATAGAGCAGGACTCACTTGATCTGGCTGAAGTCTCGATAGGGCAGGACAGAAAACATCCCGTATACAGCTCTTCTGGCTCTGATCAAAACTATCCTACAGGAACATAAACATTAGACAGTTTATTTCCTTCTTGTTAAGACCACCATTTCATGAGTGTAAAATGCATTTTCTCTAGCATTAGCATTCAAATCTTTAATCTATATTTTTTCCTCCCTTTTAATTGAACACATTTATATCTAAATGAGTTTATCAAGTTTTTATCTAGAGTTTTTGTGTAGAAACGCTGTCATAAACATGTGCTGTTCTCCTCAGAAGAGTCACTTGATCCTTGATCTGTGTTTTCAGTCCAGTGACGCAGAAATAAATAAATACCGCAGAAGTACAATTATATTCAAACGATTGTTGCTTTAGATCATATTTAACAATTATTTCAGCTGTCATTTTAATATTAGATTATATTTTATTAATTTTGTTGTTTTTTATTTATTTATTTACTTATTTTTTTAAAGATATGTCAATATATTTTTATATATAGAAAAGTTGTGACATTATTTCATGGACCTGAGCTAACATGAGCTATGAACAGTTGTATTTTAATAAGTAAACAAATATTAATAAATACCATAACAAATGTATTGCTCATTGTTACTTAGGTTGCATTAACCAATGTTAACTAATAGGTTGTTTTAGTATCATTATGATACTATTGTAGATTTTATTAATAGTTTGAATTACTTTTTATTTTTATATTTTCATTTTCATTTTTAACATTTTAGTCTTTTTTGTTTTTTTTTATAGTTTTTATCCATTTTTATTTCAGGTTTAGTTTTAGTTATGTTAGAACATCAAGTTAATTTACAATAAATGAATATTGTTTCAATTAACAAAATGTTTTTATGGTATAGTTTTAATTTTATTTAACTATAATAACCCTGATAGGACCTTACTGTGAAGTGTTACCCTATTATTGGTTCATAGATATTTGTCATAATTAGTTTGTTCATGTTTTCATTGCAGTACCTTCCATTGCGGGTATCGTGTTGTCTCATGTTTTTGATGAAATGAACCCGTCTGCTGCTCCTGGGCCGTACCACACTTGTGCAAGACTTACTGTAAGAAAACAGTAAAAAAAAAATTATAATAAATAAGTTATATATATAGCCCATAATGTATGATTGCAGAAAAAAATATGTTTGTATTGAACAATGGACATTGAATATATATATATATACACACACACACACACACACATACAATTTTTTTTTTTTTTTTACAAAATCTTTTTTTTTAAAGTTATTTGGGAGTATTTAAATGAAATAATAATAATAAAAAAATGCTAGACCTCTGAATCTCTCTAGAGATGTTCACTTTAGATTCACTGTCCATTAGAGATGTTTTGACCTCGCTGCCCGTCTGACCTCCGCACTCCTCTTTACTGGGCTGCTGTTCTCCTGAAGCTCTTTGTGCTCGAATGACTGGAGCAGATGCTGAAAGCGTGAATTTGGCGCCATCCTCAGCTTGACGTTGAGCCCCGTTCGCCTCCGCTGCTTTTCCATCCAGCGAGATGTTGGTGAGGAAAGAGAGAGCCGCCTGCCTCTGTCTGCGATCCATCTCAGCAGGTAAGAAACTCAGAAGAGCTGCTCCCTGCAGCTGTCACAACAAACAACGCCCTCCTGACCTGAAGCACACTTGAAGAGTCACGCGTGGCTTTCTTCACAACACATAGTGTACCAAAGACCACAGCACCTGTTCGGAGACATATATTTAATAAAATATATTAAAAAAAACATAAATGGTGTAAGTCAGTGGTGTTCAACTGGTTCTGCTTCAGGAGCAAAGCTTTCATTGGGCATCAAGGAGCGACCAAACAGCAGCAGAAATTTGGTTTAACCCTCATGTTGTGCTGCTCACACAGGGCTTAACAACTTACCGCCAAAATTTGATTTGGTTTTTGTACTTTTTCTCAGCTTGTTTTTGAGTGAGAGAATAAATAAATTAATAATAAAATGTTGACTCAAAAGCTGCATAAGCTCAGATCACGAGTTTCAAAAATGAATCCAAAACTTAATTAAAAGAAGACAAGTTGATAAAAAGATTGAATCCAATATGTGATAATGTAGCATAATCAGATTTACAAGCAAATTTTTAAAACCAAATTATTTTTAGCACAGCACAAGGCTTAAAAAAAGTTAAATGTTACTAAATAAAAAATTCACGTATTAATATTAATTATAATATTAATAAGTATCGCTTTTTATTTCTCCTCTTTCCTACTTGTTTCACTTCGGTTTCAGTTTTTATAACCATTTCTTACTATGTGTAAGTAAGTTGTTGTTTTTTAGCATGTGAGTTTGGCAGTGTTATTTTTTAGGATTACTGATAAACTACTGTAAACTACTGTTTGATTTGTATTATTTGTATTTGTTATTTATTTTAATTTTAGTTAAATTATGTCTGAATTTATTATGTCTGTATAGGTCTTTTATTAAGT